TAGTGCAATTTAAAAATTCGTGAATAAATCTAATCACCAAACTTCAACCTAGATACATAAAATAAACGAAATGTATACAACATTCTTGTGTATTTTAGATAATAAAGTGAGTATATAATTGATTGCTTTTTATATCTATAATTAACGATCTTCGAAGACATTCAATTCCTTTGTTATTACTTGATCCGAATCTATAATTTACTCTATCCAATCTATTTGTGATGATAATAATGTTCTCTCCCATGCCGACGCAGGCTGGAGTGAATCCGCCTTTGCTACCGACACCCATTACAACCCTCCCCTTCATAGTATCACAATCTCTATTAATTTTAATAGCAGCTTTTCATTGTTTATTTGTTCATGTTTGTACCCTTTAAATCATTATATATCTCATGGTTGCGTATAATATAGTCATGATAGTATTTTATTATAGTAGGTTATAATTGTGATACTCGTTTTGTTGAGATAATTAATCTACTCACTATAGAATATCATTTTCATTAGTGTTGCTTGATCTATGATAAAAATTATTAGTCGTGGTATAGTTTTCATCATGATTATTTTTCCTTTAAGTCTGTTATTAATACCCGTTCTTCATTAGCGTATTTATCCCGCGTCAGTGTTCGTAGTGTCCCGTAAAATTCAATAAAATATCATTGAATGCGCTGTATCTAACTAAATTCTTGATCACGTGAGATGACCTATTCCATTTGTGCTCAATGAATTTCAATGCTACATTTTTGTGATTTAGAATTAATTAGCATCAAATTTATAAAATACTCCAATCTTCCTATTTCTTAATTCTATTAATGACTCAATTAGATTATCCAGTTCGCATCCCATATATTCCTTATTATTAATCTCCTCCCAACCCATTATCTAAATTACTTATCTATGACCATCCTCAGCTGCTAACAAGTAAAGTACTATAGTCCAAATATAACTAAAAGTCTTCCGATGAGAAATAATCCATGGATTAATCAATACAAAATACTCTAATCAAGTGAACTCATTAAAATCTCCGAAGTTCATTCACAGTCGCTAAAGAAACATAATACAAATGTATGTGTATACCAATCGATGATATCCGAGTAGTGAAATTCTCAATAGCAGACATAATAAACATACATCTTATATATTACTATATATTCCTGAACTTATGGTGTCGTCTCCAACTGCGGGTAACCTCTACCTCTGTAAGTAAGCCTACTCATAAGAGCTAGCTTAATGAAACAATGAACTCAGCTCAATACAATCATATGCCCAATCAACAAATCATTAATCTCCTTATCGAAGCATGATACCCTCTATGTATTTTTTATCTCTTATGTCTATTACATAGATCACACAGCCGCTGCACCACCTCCTCAATCCTCATGTCCGACTATTACACATTTTTACTATCCTCTCACTACCTAGACCCGACACTAGCCAGATCCGATCTACGAAGCACCTACTTCCCACGGACGAGTTTATCCCCTCACAGCCGCAGACGCCCGCCCCGTCTAGCGAATAGTTCTCATCCCGTGTGAATCATCTACGCTAATGTGGAAGAACTAGCGCCGGTGCACCAACAAGGAAATCACCTCACACCAGTCAACCAAGAGACAGAGTGAATTGACCCCCGACCCTCCCCAATCTCCGCGTAATACCGCCTTTCTACTACCTCCCTGACCTACTCCCTGCCGACTCGCCTTATGCATCCAGGGGCCTAAACGTCATAACCTCTCTCCACAAACATAATCCATCAACCAAATTGCGACACTTCTCACACCTTCCATTTCTGTAAAGTCTATAAAACAAAAAAGCCTGTTCAAGAGGGTCCAGCAATGAGGTGAGTACAATAGTCCAAATGAGTATATGCTATGTCCGTCAATAAGAAGAGACGAAAAGTAAGAATATTATGAATAAAACAAATTGTACAGAACCTAAGGCGGAGTTACTAACCGTCGTTTATTCTATATGCCTATCCCATCCTGCTTCCCGATCTCAATCACCACCGTGCGCGCGCGCTCAACCACCTCAAATCCTTCATGAACATGGTGCCACACAAAGTTGCGGCGATGGCTGACGCACCATGAGGCTGCGAAACACCCTTTGGTAGCTTGCCGTGGACACATCTCGACTTCCTCCCTAACGAATCCAACCAACCGGACACCGTAAAACCCTCTCTACCATACTTGTATCGCGTCTGCTGGGAAGAGTCTCGCACTTAGCGTTAGCGGCAACACGATTCTTAGCGGCCTCGATATTAGGCGTATCTCAACGATGTCGTATACCAGCTACGACTGTTCTAATTATAAAATATATGAGATATTGACTGTAGCCATCAGTTTCATACATATATAGTGCCGCGAGCAGTGGAGAGATGTGTGAATAGCCGAGTTTTGGTTATCACATGACTTCTCCATGTGTTGTATCGAGGGTGGTGCTTTGCTCCGCCGTTCCGACCGCAATCCGCCCACCAAAGCAACAAAAATATCACCCCTACGGCACCCCCACTGGCCAGGATTCAAGAGCCGTTGTGTGTTGTGAGTGCTGCACCAACAAGACCTAAGAGTGTTGTGCATCGAGAAGGCGGACAAAAAACCCACCAGCCAAGAGAGCGAGCCACCCCGCTCTTCGTACATGTGCCTACTGTGTGGTTTGTGAACGTGGAAGTACCTGCGAGTATCTATCATTAAGATAAAAAAGCATATCAAATGACACCACTCTCCAGCAATATCCAATACAATACTGACTCCGTCAAGGTATATTTTCATATGCTAATATCTGAGAAATGTAGCGAGTGTTCATATACGTCTTTATACATCAATCTCCAGTCTCTGCGAATCAGTCTTGTATGAACCGTCGCGATGAGTTCTACAACGCTCTAGATGTCACAGCGGACTGCTATTGTCACCCACTCCCCCGAGTGTTCCAATCCTTGGGTGGAGGTTGTGTTCTCGCTTTCTCCAGGAGTTTTCGGGCTTGAAGATACGAGTAAATATATAACACCCCCCTAGGGATGAGAGTAATGCGGCCACAGCTCGACGGGATATTGAAGAGTCTGTGACAGTTAATATTGCAACCAACATTCTCGAAATACACGCAATTGCAAAGCTTGTAAAGAACTGACGCCATTTTCATGCGTGGAACAAAATACCATACGCTTAAGTTGGTTGCAACACTCCACTGGCTCGTTTATCCTCTCACACATGCTATATTTACATGTATACTCAACACACTACATCATCGCGACACGCGACTGCTCATATGCCACTCTCTCCGCTAGCTCCACGACAGGAGAAGCCACATATGTTGTATCTCTTAATTAATTAGAATCCCCCACACAAAGAAGCAGAGTTATGTCCTCCCTGGCCTATAAATTGAGAGATTGACCTCTGAGTATGACCTTCAATTATGCAAACAAAAAATATCCCCTTCAAGAGAGCAGTTGTGCTAGATCCACACACGTTCTCCACACCTTGTGATACAGCACACAATTCATAATTGTTATTATTCACTAATGTTAAATATCTAAGAACACACAAAACCAATCACCGCGAAAATAAAGAGTACTTTTTGGCGATCCTACTGAGAGCGAAGAATACCAGACCAGAAACGCCGTTCTGAACACTGCGTAAACTTAATCCTTAGCTAAAAAAGATCGTTGTGCCGTTATACTAGGTTCCCGTCTTATCTAGTTCGACAAATTTCTATGCGCGATTATCACCAATGTCCTATAATGTGTTGACCCTTGTGTTGCTGAATATCCTATCAATTAGTTCTTTTGCCTTCCCATTCCCAGAAGATTGAACTGATCTATCGATAAAATATAAAATTAACATGCGTTTGAAGTCGTGTGCGTAAACCCATCTCAGTAATATAAATATTCTGTAGTATATCTTGTTCGCAGCCCCTCCAATCCATCGTGAAAATCGTATCCTTTATGAAGTTTAGGCCTAACGTGTGAGTGAACCTCTTCTCCTGATTCTAGCGCCGTAAGTACCCATTATACTGTGTTTCATAAGTTCGTTTCGTCGCAACCGACTGCTTAAGCGACTTAGACAAAGCTCAATACTATGGATGTGATATATCACTGCGTGCTCAGTTATCATAAGTGTTACTCAATATTGTAGGGTATTGCCTTAAGCAAATATAGTCGTTATCAATATAACGTACTGGAGAGTAGTGATGAGATGCCAGGGTGCTATCACTATACAATATTTTGGTGTCAAGTAATTCAATTTCTATTTTGTTCTATGTTTCAAAACCCTATGCCCGAGTCTACTGAGAACAGAAGAGGAAATACTTTAACCAATGATTTTTACTAGCCCACATGATTCAGCACTAGAAAAACATCATATAATCATATATATGAACAAAGCAACAACACGAGTAACTTTTACAAAAAAGACATAACATCGCGATTCGGTTGTTTCTAGAAAGAGCTACTGACGTATAGAAGAGTATATTATCTGGCGAAATGGTTCACCTATATATTAATTTAAGCTCAACGTGCTGTTTTCATTTCATATATCTTTCTCTGAATTCGCCCACCGCAGGTATGAATCACGCTCTTGCGAGTGGAATACATGTCCGGTGGTGCTGGCTACGTCCTCAGCAGTCCCGCCGTCAGACTACTACAGAAAACCCTCCTGCAGGAGTGCCATCTGCCAGGACTCACATCTTACGAGGACGTCAACATGGGTGCCTGCATGGCGGCTCTAGGTAGCTCGTGGAATATTTCTCTTCTCGCTTTCTCCAAAGTTTACGATTTACCAGCTATGCTTATAAATACTACTGTAATTTCTGAAACACCGTATCACGGGAAACTCCAATTAAAGTCAAATGTTAAACAGTTATCATTTCTATAACACAGAGGCTAGAATTCGCTCGTTTCTCGTTCCAACTTTACTCAATCATTAGGTCGTTAGTGTACATATAATGACACTTTTGCCCTCTGAATGCAGGCGTGGAGACGGGAGACACTCGAGACTCTCTAGGACGAGCCAGGT